AGTACTTTTTTCTTTGTGTTCAATCTTACTTTGAAAAACCGCAAAAGAGCGAGTCCACGTAAGTCGAACTACGAAGTAGTGAGGGACTACTGTACAGAAGGTAGGAGCCTACATTAATCCACTTTGGTCTCAACTCAGCTCTGACTAGCCGTTTGCTCATCAGTCTACTTGAAATTAAATAACTTTTCCAAACAGGTCATTCAAAGAGCTATTTCCATCAGGTAAGAAATTATTTAAAACATTTCTACGGAACACACTTCAACTCATTACAGTGACTAAGAGTTGTATGGGTTTACTTAATCTGAACAGAGAATTCAGTTAATTGTAAACTAATAATAATAATAATAATAATAATAATGTCATCACAATGTCAGCACTGTATGTTTCCATACAATGGCGAAATTAGTCTCTGCATTTAACCCATCCACCACCAGGTGGTGCAGTGGGCAGCTATTGAAAGCGCCCGGGGGACATTTTGGGGATTAGACGTGCTGCCCAGAGACGCCACGTGATGTGCAGTGACTGGGGATTGAACCTGGGACTCTCGGGTCCCAAGCCGGCTGCCCTGCCTCTACACCATCTCGGCCCCATGTTGACTGTATGATCATACTGTATGACCTCTTGACCTTTTTTATGAATATTGATAACTAGGGATGCACAATATTATCGGCATGGTGTCGGCCGATATTAGCGTTAAAGTTAAATATCGGACATCGGGCCAGTCCATCAAAATAACTCGCCGATATAAAAGGCGCTGTTTTTGTAGGACAATCCAGTGACAGGGAAGCCTGCAGTGCCAGCACAACGTGATGACGTCACGCGCACCTACCTGATCTGATCACGGCGGAGAGGAAGAAGTCAAAATGTCGGTGGTGTGGAAGGTTTTTTTTGTTGAGGATGTCAGATTCCGTTTATTTATGGACCACGTTGAGCCTCGCTACATCGTCCCCAGTTGGAGATGTTTTTCCGACGTAGCCTTATCCGAGTTACAAGCCGTCATTTCTGATGTCATTGAGAAGCTAATAGCTGATAGCACTTGGGTGAGTTTTATCACAGACATTTGGACGTCGTGTTAGCCCCGTTAGCATGATTAGTGTTACAGCACAATGGATAGACCAAAACTTTGAACTTAAAAAGTCTGTCCTTCATGCACAGGAGTGCAGAGGATCCCACACTGCAGCTGAACCTGGAAC